AAAATTATAAAATTAATTGCCCTTTGTTAGAAATAATTACTCACCACATATATTAGAAAGAAGCTACTTCTACCTTTATTAAGTTTTCCAAAATAATCATCAAGAGACTCCAACCCCTTCTTTAATCTGAACTGACCATTTCTAGTGAGTGGCTCCCTTGTCCTGTTTGACTTATCTGCAGGTAGATTTGTGCCATTTTGGAGTTTCGTTAGGAGAGATGCAGTTGATCTGAGTTGCTTCTCATTTGTACCAGAATCTGATGCATACCAAACCATGCCTATATTCTGCTTTCTTTCATTATTTGCAAAAATGAAACTTGGATGGCTTTCTAGTTCATTGGGTAAATGTTGCAGGACACATTTCGGAGCTGCATTTACAGGCGTGGCATATGGGTTTTTGACACAAAATAGTAATTAATCTCTGAAAATAAAACAAAAATAAGAATTCTAAATACTAACGCACAGCTAGAACCCAAATTCAATCAAATAAAATCAGAAATGCAAGTAGGATCTTGGATTCAATCAAATAAAATCACATGCATATAGAATCCAAATAAAAACAAACATTCACATAGAATCCACAATTAAAGAAAGCTACAGACATCTAGAATTCAAAACAATCCTGAACTGATACCAAAACTTTGTTTCAAGCATGGAGGTTAGGGCTTTACAAAATCGCACCTTGGGAACTGTCACTCAGCCTTCACCTTCGAAGCAATTGGCCTCGAGAAATTGTCTTCTATCTGATGAGGAGTTGAAGCTCTTGAACGTTCCAGTGAGAGAAAAGCCATAGATTGTAAGAGAGGGAGACAGAGAAGAAGCCAGAGAAAGAGAGGGAGGGTTTCCATGGGATTTGATGAGAGAGAGAGAGAGAGAGAGAGAAATTTGCAAAGTCTGAGAAGGAAGAGATCTGAGAGAGCATTTGGGATTAAAGAATGAATTAGAGATTGGAGATAGAATATGAGGCTTCTGTAATGGGGAAGAGAATTTGACCCCCAAAAAAAGACGCACCAAACTTAAATTTGGTGACAAAAAGGGCGGCACGCGAAAAATTTTGGGGGAAAAAATTACAAATCTATGACGCATATGCTACGTCGTTAAAGTGCTAAAGATTTTATGGCGCAGAAGACACGTCATGTTAAGGTTATTGAAAATATTTCTGCCCGTGATGTGTAGATGACGTCGTTAAATTAAGAACAAATTTGGGGTACATCTATGACGCAGATCATGCGTCGCCGTATAACTGTTTCATGACGTGTTGAGGACGTCGTTAAATGAAGAAAAAATTTGGGGTACATCTATGACGCAGATCCTGCGTTGTCGTAGAACTGTTTCACTAACTATTTCATGACATGTTGAGGACGTCGTTAAATTAAGAAAAAATTTGGGGTACATCTATGACTCAGATCCGCCGTCGTTGTATAACTGTTTCATGACGTGTTGAGGACGTCGTTAAATCAAGAAAAAATTCGGGGTACATCTATGACGCAGATCCTGTGTCATTGTATAACTGTTTCATGACGTGTTCCGAACGTCGTTAAATGAAGAAAAAATTTGGGGTACATCTATGACGCAGATTCTGCGTCGTTGTATAACTGTTTCATGACGTGTTGAGGACGTCATTAAATTAAGAACAAATTTGGGGTGCATCTATGACGCAAATCCTGCGTCGTACGTCATATAACAGTTTCATGATGTGTTAAGGATGTCGTTAAATCAGGAAAAAATTTGGGGTACATCTATGACGCAAATCCTACGTCGTCATATAACGGTTTCATGATGTGTTGAGGACGTCGTTAAATTCACAACAAACGGTAGATAAAAAAATCTTAACGACGCATGATACGCGTCGTCTAAATGTACTAGAATCAATGACACACATCCCGCGTCATTGAAAAAGATTTTAATGACGCGTCCAGCGAGTGTCATGATAACGGTGTCATAAACTCACATCTATGACGCATTTTAAAAACACGTCATAAATAATGACATTTCATGACGTGTATTTTCGATGTGTCATTAAATATGTGTCATAAAAAGACTCTTTTGTTGTAGTGTTTAAAGTAGGCAATATTGAAAGTATATATATATTTTACTTACCCGTTTGCCTCTTCTTTCGGAGCATGAAAATGCTGATGTGGCAACGCAAATGAAGTTTGCCTACTCTTTTGCCTCTTTCTTTTGAGATGCTTGGAAGAAAATAAATTATATATATATATATAACTAAATTG